CTCTGGCGTGTCAGCCACTCCTCCCAGCTTTAATAGAAAACCAGCATGAAAATTTCTTAATTTTTACGACTGACTTTATTTTCCAGTTCTTCATGAAGCATTTTATATTGTGGGATTTTTTTGTTTGATTATTTGTTTGCAGAGCCAGGAACAATTTTGAAAGACCATTTGCAAGAAAATGTTGTCTTTGATTGAGAACTGTTGGAAAAAAACCAATCCCAATCAGTCATATGCAGTAAAAATATTGATAGAAGTACATATCTATCTTCTGTTCATACTTCAGTACTTCCTAATTTTTCTGTTGCTAGTATGTATTTGTGGACTATGAGCTAACATAAATACTGTGTGTGTCTTATTTGGATATTAAAGAAGTCAGAACAGTTCTCTAGTTTTCTACATTTTTTGTTAGTTGGGTGTCACCAGTTCTTATGAAGTCAGTTGTCTGTGAATCAGTTCTTATGAAGTCAGTCTATGAATCAGTGAGATCACAAGTATGAAAATAGGTATCAGCCATACCTGTAGTTTTACCTTGAGTTTGCAACTGATAAAATAATTTGCTGAAATAGAGAAATTAGATAGCACTTATCTCAAGAAATTCACTTGAGAACGAAATTTTGTGCTAAGCCTGACATATGTTTCACATAACCAGAGGAGCAGGTTGAATGTCTGGACCTTTCACTCCATTGTGTGAAAACTGAAGTGCTGTTTTCTTTCTTACAACTTTTTATTGTCTGCAGTGATTCATCAAGTGAATATTCCGACTGGACAGCAGATGCTGGAATTAATCTCCAGCCTCCAAAGAGACAAACCAGGCAGGCAGCTCGGAAAATCTGTAGTAGTTCTGAAGATGAAAATATGAAGGGAACAAAAGGACTGGAGCCAAAACGAAGGAAACTTAAACAGCCTAGAAAAAAGGTCAGCATTTTTAGTTTTTGAGGGTCTTTTTGACTTCATGAATATACTTTTTTTGGAGTGATTGTTTTCAAGGTCAATTTTTTCACAAACTAATACACAGTAAGAAAGATCTTATAGATAGCACAATAATGGTAATACCTGAGTGATTTTCTGGTTTGTTTTGGTACTATGGTGACATAGATGTACTTCCATTTTCACACAGGTAGCTCTCCGTTACAGGTGGGATGTTTCCTCCTGGATTTACACTCTTCACTGCAGTAAAATTTACTCCAAGGTGGTTTTGTTGTAAAATTATAATGCATCTATATTGTATCTACATTATCAGGTTTTTTTTGCTAGTATATTTTTAAAGAAGACATTTAGAGTATTTCTAAGGAAAGACATATAGTATCTTTATTTATGAATGTTTTACTCTTCTATTATATTTATAACAAACACGTCTTATTTCCTACTATTTGGTTGAAATTTTTGGAAGGTTGACATTCCAGGATTTGCCTTGCCCTTATGTCTCGTTATCCTTAGTTTTTTATTATGTTCTGCCATAGTAATTACAGCTTGCGTTCTAAATTTAATGTAATATATTTTAGAAACCAAGTGGACTGCTGTCGATGGAAGGTGAACCCAGTGAAGAGTGGCTTGCCCCACAGTGGATCTTGGATACTATACCGCGCCGCTCACCTTTTGTCCCGCAAATGGGAGATGAGGTAATCAGTGTAGCAGTTCCGAAATTCCCACCAAAGCTGATGACCTTGTTTGGGCCAGCACTATTATATCTAGTAGTGTTTTCGGTAACTTATTAGTAGCATTGATTGTGCATCTTCAGACAAACCCTCACACTTCTTAATGATCCCAAGTTTGAAAGCAATTTGAAAGCACTTTTTGCCACTTTGGGGGCAGATATAAGTGCTTTTAAGGACAACAGTGCTTTATAATGAAATAAAGAAGTGTGCTGTATGCTCTGAAAGGAATGAGATGCCTGATGTGTTTATAGAAATAAACAGGAAGAGAACTATCCGTAAAATAAAATAAACTTTTTTTTTTATTTTATTTTAAGATCATATATTTTAGACAAGGCCATGAAGCTTATGTGCGGGCAGTAAGGAAAGCAAAAATTTACAGTATTAACATGCAAAAACAACCATGGAACAAAATGGAACTCAGGGTAAGTTAATCAAAGACTTCAAAGAGCTGAATGTTTCTGTAATGTAAAACTGACATTAAAAACCAGCACGAAAAATATGAAAAAAGCATTACTTTAAAATGTTAATAACGAAATTAAAATTGTAAACCTTAAAATTGATGTTTGCATGAACACAAAGCCTTTACATCTGTTCAGTCTTTGATGATAGGAAGCCAGAAGGATATTTAAGAATGTGGAAGTTTATGTAATGTGGTATTCTTGCCCGATAGATTAAAAAATGTAGAATATTAAATTTAAAAAAAGTCAGAGTGAGAGTAGTTAAGCACTGAGACAGATTTCCCAGAGTGAGCCTGGAATCTCCATCCTTGAAGACTTCTCAGAGCTTAACAGGGCAAGCTCTGAGTGCCTTGGTCTAACTTAGACATTAGCCCTGCTGTAAGCAGGATTTTGGACTTGGTGATTCTCAGGGGTCATTTTCAACCCAAATTATTTTACAAGACTGCTTTTTTTTTTCCTCTAACACTAATTCATGTAGAACCCACCACTTAAAAGATGTTTACAGTTCTGTCTACACTCTATGATGACCTGAATATCTAGGTTCTACAGTGTTAACATACTTTTTTTTGCTTTACTCAGATTTCATATCGAGAGAAGAGCACGTGTATGTGCTCATGTATGTGTATGCCAGTGGTGCTATTAATGAAAATAATTGCTTTACTGGAAAAATATCCAGTTACTAGTCCTAGGTATTCAGTGTTTCCAGCTGTAACCTTCAAAGGCATCATCAGTTTGCAAGGAAAAGGAAGTAGTTATTTCACTTAGGATAGAGATCTCACCACCAGCTCTTGTCTGACAGGATGTGAACATAAGGGCTATTGTTGAATTTCCACTTTCAGAGGAAGAATTTCCTTTTCTTTCCCCTCTATGTTGCTATTCAAGGGTGAGAGGTCAGGTATAACCTTTGGTGCCACCAGTGTGGTTAAAACCAGAGAGGAGTATTTTCCTTAGAATGTTATTACAAAAGTTAAATAATTTATAGGTATCCTGTTGTCATATCTACAAAGGGAATAAATATCATCTATCTTTTTCATTTTTATTTTTAAGTTATCTCTGACTAATTTTTAGTATTTGTAAAAGAAAATTGTTATGAGTGAAATTACGTGGGCTGTAGAGTGGAAACATACTTGTTTTTTATGACTGTGTTTGGTACTTTAACATGGATGTTTTTGTTGTTAGCAAGTTAAAGTAATGCTGTTCCTTGCTTACTGATAAATAGGAACAAGAATTTGTGAAGACTGTAGGAATTAAATATGAAGTTGGGCCTCCTACGCTCTGCTGCTTGAAGCTTGCATTCCTAGATCCAATCACAGGCAAAATGACGGGAGAATCATTTTCCATAAAGTAAGTAACTGAAATGCTGATGAAATTTTTCATGACATTTTCTTGTGGTTTAGAAGCATCCCCCCCCCCCTCCTTTCTTTTTTCTCTTGCAATGCATGATGGTGGCATTAGTTAGTTATTACGCCAAACCTGAAAACAAAGTGCATGGTATTTTGTGTTTGGAGCATATTGTACATGTGGAGCTGTTTTTATGGGTAATGGCAGCAAATTTTCTTCTTTTTTTGGTCTTTTCTGTGAAGGTACCATGATATGCCAGATGTTATTGACTTCCTTGTGCTGCATCAGTTTTATAATGAAGCCAAAGAAAGGAACTGGCAAATAGGTGACTACTTTTTTTCCACTTCCATATGTTGTGAAATATTTCTGCAGCTGTTTAATAGGATACAGCATCTCTGTTACATCATGTAAAGACATACACTACACATAATATTACAGCAATAATTGGAAACTTTATTTGATGTTTGCTTCAGTTCCTGTAACAGGAAAAAAAGAGAGAAATAAGAGAAAATGTTACAGGGTCTGTGATAGCAGAAGAACGTCCTGTTACATTGTAGTTTGAGGCTTGAAGGCAGCTGTGACTAACTAATGAGAGATGTGAAAGTCGTCCCATTAGGGAGAGGGCTTGATTCCTGCAGTGCAAAATGTAAGAATTGAAGTAAGGCATTTATGAAATACGAAGTTGATTCTCTAAAAAGAAGTATTTAACAATTATCTGTGTTGTTGTTCTGCTGAATGCAATCTTTTTCCTTACAGGGGACAGATTTCGCAGTATAATAGATGATGCTTGGTGGTTTGGAACTGTGGAGAGTCAGCAGCCTTTCCAGGCAGAATATCCCGACAGTTCCTTCCAGTGCTACTCTGTTCAGTAAGTATTTACATAGCTGTCATGTACCACACGTGTACGTGCTCTGGGTCTCCTAGACACTTACATGCAACTTAAACACGTACCTCAAGATCTAGGAACTTTTTCAATACATAATCAGCTGCTTTATTTTTTTTATTTAATTATGAACTTACTCATAAAACAATGCTTTTGGTGTAAGCAGCAGTGCACTGAACGGATGGGAGATACAAGAGAAAATAAGTTGGAATGTAGCTAGTGACGTGTCTTGCTTCTAATAGGCATGGCCTTTTTTTAAGTCTGGCAGAGAAAAGGTGTATCGTTATGTGCAGCTCTAACTCATGTATTTGGATGTATTTTTTTAATAGCTGGGACAATAATGAAAGAGAGAGGATGAGTCCCTGGGACATGGAGCCAATTCCAGAAGGAAGTAAGTGTGTTGAATTAATATCTTTATACAAAGTAAATAGGGGTTTTTTTGCCACTGCTAGTACTTACTGTTGTTAAATTCTTCATATTTAGCTGCTTATCCAGAGGAGGTTGGTGCTGGAGTTCCTGTGACTCCAGATGAGCTGACAGCTCTTCTCTACAAACCCCAGGAAGGAGAGTGGGGGGCCCATTCCAGAGATGAAGAATGTGAACGAGTAATCCGGGGGATAGAGCAACTTCTTTCCCTTGGTATGTTTGGAGAGGAAAGGTGGAACCATTAAGAGTATCACTGTGGTGGCACATGACCAAAAGGTAGATAGGATGGAGCACCGGGAGTTGGTATGGAATATTTGAAGTGTGGTCAACTAAATCATTGAAAAGAGCTGTTTAAATTTTATATGGTGTCCTTTTCAGTTATGCTCCATTTTTTTCTGGGACTCAACCCGCTTCCTTTCAAGTTAATGGGGATTTTCAGTGGGTCATATCTAAATAGGAACAATCAAAGCATTGAATTTAACCCCTAAAGAAACAACCAACAAATCCTCACCAACAAATACCTTGTAACAGGTTTGTAGCCATTTAAAAGCATGCTATGACTTGAATTCTATGCTATATTTATACATGGGACATACCTATGTTCTTAGTTAATGTTGCTTGTTGTAGTATTCCTGTTGTGAGTGCATATGCCATGTTGCTTTTTAGCAGCACGGTTGACGTGCAAATCTCAGATGCGATACGTAGACAAAAAATGGTGTTTTGATAGTAGTTAACAGATGATACAAGAGAAAGAATCCTACCCTTTGGGTAAGGACATAGATCTGTATTGCTTTTGCTGAATTCTTAGAAAGATAACCCAGAAACCATTATAAGGAATTTAGTTATCTTATAACTGCCCTTCTGGTACCTTCTGATTCATCTGAATTATTTTGATCTTTTGTCTTTCAGACATTTCTAATCCCTTTGCTGTTCCAGTGGACCTTAGTGCCTATCCCATGTATTGCACTGTTGTTGCTTATCCAACTGACCTCACCACAATTAGGAGGAGGCTTGAAAACAGGTTTTATAGGTCAGTTGGATTTTTATTTGTCTGTAATCTACATTTACTGTAGGCCCATCGAGGACAATATGTTCAGCTGAATAGTATGTAACGTCACCTCAGCAATCTATGTCTTTGGTGAGCCAACAGCGTAAGATCAGGTTCTATCTGGCCCTGGGCAAAATGAGTCTTCCTGAATAATAAGTCATTTTGGCCACATTTATACGGCAATTTTTAAAATTTGTTTTTATTTTTTTAGGAGAATCTCTGCACTTATGTGGGAGGTACGATACATTGAACATAATGCCAGGACTTTCAACGAGCCAGACAGTCCAATAGTCAAAGCAGCCAAAATTGTAACAGATGTCTTACTTCGCTTCATTGGGTAGGCATGGTTTTTACTTTATAGACCTGACATCTTGAGTTTCTGAGATACATAATTATTTATTTTGGCTTATGTTATTGTCCTGCAGGGATCAGAGTTGTACTGATATATTAGAAATCTATAACAAGGTGAAAGCAGAAGACCTAAGCAGTACTGATGAAGAAGAGGAGGTAAGACCATTAAGTCTGATCGTCAGGACTTCTTGCCTTTTTAAATTCAGCACTTGAAAGAAATTTGAGCAAAGGTCTTTGTTGTTTTTTTTAATTTTATGGGTAGTTGCACTGAGTTTTTGAGATAAGCCTATTTAGGCCGTTTGCCTTGCTCACTTGGGGCAGTAAGCTCCCTTAAGAAAAAATGATTCTTGGAACTGCCTATCTTTAATCTTCTCTCAGTACACGATGTTTTGTTGTGTGAGGGAGTATTACTAAGTAGGGGAAATAAGAACTGGAGCTGTAATTCAGTCTGCCAGACCAGAAGGACAACAACTCTCCTATTGTCAGCCAGGCAGCAGAGCTGGTTTTCTTACGCAATTCTGTGTCATTTCCTGTCAGTTGTACCCTGGAGTGAAATGACAGGTAGAAACCAGGTTGGATATCACAGCCTTTTAACTTTTCCTCTCTCCTTACACATTCTCTCCTTTAATGTAGTTCTTATACGTTTCGAAATGTGCTGTAGTTTCTGTTGCCGAGAAGTGACCTGTTCTAACCTAAGTCACTCGGTTTTGTTTTACTTTTTCGGTGTTGCTTTCTAATACATGAGCTATTACAAGATTTAGTTAGGAGGTTTCTTTCCTTTTCCCTCTCCCAAGACGTACTGCATTGTTGCAGTTTTGAAATATTCAAGTTAAACCTGATGTTGCTTGAACACCTATAGGCTTATGGCTGGTGCTATTGTCTTGGATTTGCATTGAAAATTAAAATCTATACTACATTGAAATAATGTGTTTACTTTTATAAAACTGAAGATACAATAATTGCATCTATTTTCTCAGACTATTAAAAAAGGGTATCTTGAAAAAAATGAGAGATTTCCATGACTTAAATAGCAGATCCTCCTTTCCTAACTCAACCTTCTTGTGTATCATCTCTTCTGTACCATGTTAAGCCATGATCAGAAGTGTCCAAAACTGCTACTATAACACCTTCATTTCTCCAGCCTTTCAAAGAGCTGGTTTATAACTTGTTTTGGTTTATAATATGTTTTAAAATAAGAAAGTTACTTTAGGATTCTTTGTAGGAACTTTACTGTCTTCTCAAAATTATTTCTTTTTAATTACTGGTAGAAAGCCATATACAAAAAAGTCTGCATTGCATTTCTAAATTCAGATTCTGAAAAGAATGTTATATACATTTGATATAAGTAAGGCACTACATGAAACCTGGATAAACTCAGTGCAGCTGCTCAGAGCATGAGCATTTAGGCAGGGGAATACAGCTCTGCAAGAGTGGGACTTAGCTGAGTCCTGAGGACTGAAGCCATTCGTATTTCTCACATTTTTAGTTATAATTTCTATGGAAGAAAACTTGGAAAAGGATGAAACAGCTTATCCATCTAATCTTGTTTTAGTTATGTAAGTTCTAGTTTGAAGCTAGTTTCTGTTTTGCTTGAACCATTCATTGCATTGGAGTGGTTTAAAATTGTGTTTGTTGTTGTTGGCTGTTTGGTTTTAAACCTTTTTCCATTGCTGGGTGATAGAAGCATGTGTGTAATCATTACCTTTGCCTTTAGGTGGCAGAAGTAGATGTAGATTCAGATGCTCCAGGAACTTCCTCTGGAAAAAGACGAGTGAGTAAACATTTCTACTTGGTCTAGCTTGTGAAAGGAGATAGACCAGGTACTGACACACTCATTTAGGGCTGGAATGGTTTAAATTTGTCATAGGCTATGGTCTGTAGGACCTGATCTGGATCCAAAATACTGCATATCTCTCATGGGTTTCAGTGTTTGTATATTACCAGAAAAGGCGTATTTCTACAGTTTTCATACTGCATATTGTTGTGTCATCAGCAATGCTTTAATCTGACTGCAATTCTGGTTTTAGTTGTGGAAATCTGCTTCAAATCATAACACTAGTGAATTAATAGGAGCTTAAGGTGAAAAAATATGAATATTCTGAAAAATTGTTAAATGCATCTGTTTCCCTGCAGGTAAGACGACGAATAAAAAGACAGCCCATGAAAGCAAGTCCTGATGCTTGGAAAGAGCAATGCAAGCAGTTGTTAAACCTGATTTATGAAAGAGAGGACTCAGAGCCTTTTAGGCAGCCAGTTGATCTCTTCTCCTATCCTGTAAGTCCAACTTCCATATTCAAAACTAAAAAAGCCTATTGTTCATCCTTTGGCAAAACATCCTTGCTGGGCACGTTTCTAACCTCTCCCTTTACGAGCTGGAACGCGCCATGTTCTGTGCACTGATGTTTCCCAAGAGTTAAAGTAGAAATAATTACTTGAGAGCCACTGTTGTGGATGAACATTGGGGTATTTTTATTTCTGTAGGATTTGACAGCCTTTCTTATTTTCTTATGTATTCTTAACAGGATTATCGAGATATTGTAGACACTCCTATGGACTTCAGCACTGTGAAAGAAACCTTGGAAGCAGGAAACTACACTAGTCCCTTGGAATTCTACAAAGATATTCGTTTAATATTCTGCAACTCGAAAGCTTACACTCCTAATAAAAAGTCTCGAGTAAGTAATCCATTTTAATGTCTTCTTTACAAAGACCCTGGCCTTACATGAATACAATGCGTGAAATACAGTCTGTATCTGAAGAGCAAAACGCTGCATTGTGAAATAAAAATAAGTAGTATATGTCAGTTCTGAGACCTGCGGTTATAAATTTGCTATGTACTGCTCACACAGATCACTTCTGAATTTAATTTTTGTCTGAACTTTCTGAACTTAAAGCTAAGAAATTGTGTGGTTGCTGTTGCAACTACTTTGAATATTTGTAGCAGGAAACTGATCACCAGTTGCTTTTAGGGATGAGAGTAAGCTTGAAGTAGGATGCTGCTGCGGGAGAGGAGAACTCCAGACGAGTATTAGTGAGCGTGAGAGAAAGCACAAAGTTGGTGTTGCTGAAGGTAGAATGGGTGGAGAATAAGGGCTGAAAGGTGGGTAAGCTCTGAAGATAAAGACCAGTCACTATTGCTCCCTTTAATAGAAGGGAAATCATTAGGGGACTGCAAGAAGACAAGTGATCTGAGGGTGTTTTATGTGTGCTTGACATCAGAGTAATCTTGGTGAGTTATTTACTGCTGCATGCTCCCTGGGAACTTCCCTGTGTATTAATAACTGAACAGCTTGTGAGTCAGCTCCCAAATTACTGTAACAGAGTGGCCCATCAGTAGCCGTTTGCTTAAATACTGTGAAGGGCTGCGGTGAGGTGATGCTTGCTGGAGGGCTGGGGCATGCAGCTGGGCCTTCTGCCACTGCAGGCATGTCTGCTGCCAAATGTGTGCCAGCATCCTGAGGTTTTCTAGCCCATTTCACCATCTCTCCAACAGCATCTTGAATGGGCAGGGTACTACATCCCAGAGCTAAAGAAAGAGACGTTGTTAAACTATAAGGGTCTGGGCAAAAATTGTTACATGAACGTAAAGAAAAAGTCTATAGATTTTATATTCAGGCAGACTGCAAGAAATGGAAAGAGGTCTAAGATGATGATGATGTGTCTTCTTGATGGTGTTTACACAATTTTCAGAAGACTGGGTGCAGTATAAGGGTATGAGTATGTGGAAGGAATCAAGAACTTTGTTTTATTTATGCTGAGTTTCAACTGTTCGTTTGTCATAACTCAAACACATCCAAGGTAAAATCTTGAACAGAAGTAAATAAAGTCTGAAATACGGAGAAATAGCCATGAGTGATTTTGTGGATGAGGCTACACAGAGACAAGGCCTGAAAAGAGGACAGGTATATGGTTTAAGGATTTTGACTTCTAGTTATTCCACTACTAATAAGATGCTTTCTCACTCCAGATTTACAGCATGACGCTTCGACTATCTGCCTTATTTGAAAATCATATGAAAAGTATAATCTCTGAGTACAAGTCAGCAATGCAATGTCAGAAGAGGAAAAGACCACGGTACCGAAAACGGCTAAGAAGCAGTAGCAGTTCACCGTCAACTAGCAGAGCATCTAGGTAATGTAGATAGTGAAACCTGCTATCATTAAGTGAAAAACTGTGTAATTAGAAGTATGGAAAATGGAAGAGCAAGTTTCTTTTTGCATTTGTTTGGTAACCATTGAAAAAAGTGTTGTGTAACACTTTTTTGACTTCTGTATGATATATTATCTAAGCAAACTGAGTATTTTTTTAAAAAGGTGAGATAAAATCATGTTCTTGCGAGTTTATATGCCTTTATCAAACAATTATATTGTCACTATTTTTAGCATTACTACACCTGTGTGAGTGCTGGGAAGAGAACGTTTGTGTTATGCATTTGCTGCAAAAAGCAAGACACTTTGCACAGGAAATCGATTTTGTGTTTGAGTCTTTTGGTACTAACATTTTTCTTCTCTTTGGAATATTTTGTGTCTTCAGCCCAAAAGGGAAACAGAAGCAAATGAAGATTCAACCTAAACCCAACCAGAATACCTCACTGCCTTTGACTAGGACTAGTTCTTCAGTTTCATCTCATGGTGAGGAGAAATCTTCTAAAATGCATCCTTTCCCTTGCAGCAACTTGTATGTGCAGAATGATGAAAAAGCTGAAGGATATTTAATATTTAGTCTAAATGTTCTATTCATGAGACACATACAAAACCCACCTGTTGAAAAAACAAGCAGCAAGATCATGTAAATACATTTTATGTAGATTGTGATAGCTGAACTTGGCCCTCCAGCTGTTGGTGAGTTACTGGTAAGGGTCAGAGAAGAGGGAACCTGGCTCTGTCCTTGGTAAGAATTAATCTGGTGATGAGAGCCTGGACTTCCTTTATGCAGGCTTTTTTCATACAGCAATTACACATGCATTAAATTTCCTTTGGATTACACCCCGGACGAATCTGTCTCCTCCTGACTGCAGAGGTAGTTTGGTGCGATTGACCTCCTGACTTGGGCTGGTAACTCAGGTGATACAAAACTTCCATAAAAATGCCTTGCATTACACCCCTATAAGCAGGGGATAAAAGTTACTCTGTCACATTAGTGGTGTCCTGTGTAAAGTTTCAGATACAGCAGAAGAACCTCTGGGTTCAGCCACTGGTGAAGAGATGGAAGGCCAACCATCTTCCTCAGGCTCGAATGCACAGAACCGAAGTGGAAATACCATTGATCCAGGGAAAAGTAGACCCGTCAGGAGTAAATCTACACCAGTTAAACAAGGTGAGAAATAATAAGTATTCTGTTCTTTGAATGACTGTTGCACTGGAAAGAAAAGGTGTTGCTTCTTTCTGATGCTTATGATATTCTTGCCTGAATCTAGCATTATACTGTATCCCCAAACCATGCTAAAGAAGTTAATTTGCCTTACTTCTTACAGTTCTGTGGTCTCTTGTCTGAAGTATGGCATGTACATAATGCCACATGCGTTTCAGTGAAGTCATGTAAAAGTTCTGCAGATGGAAAAGTTTGATTGCTCCTAAACTTTAGAATTACAGATGCAAAAAGAACTTTAATTGAGTTACAGAAAGGTAAACCAGATCAAAGGAACCCCCACCCCGCAATCTTGTCCTTTTATTAATTAAGTTGAAATCAAAGATGAAAACAACAGACAATTTTTGAAATATTTTTGTCATAATCAATGCTATGTGGTTGTGATTAGAAGTGGAAACATTATTGCAAAGCTTTGCTATTGTCTCTCTGGGACATATTAAACTTTCCACTGAGGCAGGCATTGAATAAGCATTGGTTGAAGCCCTGAAGCCTTTGTCAGCTCCTTGCTGTGCTGTAGCAGTGTTGTATGTTGCAGGTGAGTTTTTCATGTGCCATGTTAAATCCAATTTAATTTTCATGGTCTGATTTGTAACTCTGAAAACATGCAGTATTTTGGGTCCCAAGCCAGCAAAATACTGTACTATATTTTGAGGTTAAGGTGTTCAGCAATCCTAGTGAGCAAATTATTTTAATGTATACTTTTAGGTTTGAAATGGATTTTGAAGGTTCTTCTGCCTTGACACCCTTGGTAGGGTTCATCTGACTAAATGGCAGATGTTTGTGTCTAAGCTCGATGCTCTGGGCTCTCTTATTGACTGGATCTTTACTGAACTCTTAGTCAAGACAGTTTGCAGTCCTTGCTTCCTGATAAGATGAACTGTGTTTACTTCATCTGATAAATTTTCCCCTTAAAGTGCCTGTTTGACTCTGCAGCATATAATGGTGGTCTGCGGTGAGTAGCTCAGAGCTGGATCATCCCCACAGCACACTTCAAAGGCAGATGAGGCAAATCCCACTTTTTGTGTCCTCTTTGGCTCAGGCGTGACGATGGTGATTGATAGGGTTATTTTGTGTTTGCGTAGATCACTCTCCTGACGGACCACTTACAAACGGTGATGGCAGAGAACCCCGGTCGGGAGTCAAGAGGAAGTTAATGAGTGCATCAGAAGAAGATGAGCATCTGGAGGAGGCAGAGGAAGAGGAAAAGAAGAAAAGAGAATTAAAGGAAAAATCTGGTTCATCTTCATCAGAAAGCGGGGAATCGGGATCGAGTTCAAGTTCTGAAAGCAGAAGTGGCTCTGATTCAGACTCTGAATCAACATCACGAACAGATCAGGATTACATTGATGGAGACCATGACTACAGCAAAGTTGTGCAATCCAAAAAACCCAAAAGAAAACTCAAAAGAAAACTCACCGGTGGGAAACGGAATTGGCAGGGCAGAGGGACAGGGAGGAGAGGTAGATGGGGGAGGTGGGGTAGATGGAGCAGAGGGGGAAGAGGTGGTAGAGGCGGAAGAGGCTGCGGCAGAGGAAGAGGTGGTGGCAGGGGAGGAAGAAGAGGCCGAGGAGGCAGAGGAGCCTCGCGAGGAGCCACCAGAGCAAAACGTGCCCGAATTACAGACGATGAATTTGAAAACCTGTTTGGAGGACAATTTGGTGAGAACGTGTTTGGAGGGCGATTCAGTAGACCCCCCCGGATCAAAACAAGGAACGAGGGCAGGAGAACTGTCTTGTACAACGATGATTCTGATAATGACAATTTTGTGCACACCGAGGATCCTTTGAACCTTGGTACTTCCAGGTCAGGCAGGGTGCGGAAAATGACAGAAAAAGCCAGGGTCAGCCATCTCATGGGATGGAATTATTGACAGATGAAAAACTTTGGAACAATTTTAAAAGAACTTCAATGGCCTTCTACTGCAGGGATTTTACCAGAAAATCTACCAAGCAAGTTGTGCGGGGACTCCACTCATGTTTCACAGTGGTGCTTTTCCATTATGTCCGTTTGCGTTTGTTTTAAAACTTCAGATCGCCACACTTCATTAGTCAAAACAAGCCTTATTCATTAGGCCTTAAATTACAGAAATTCTTCCCCACACAGTACAAGTTCATCCCATTAAAGAGGCTTCCAGCTTCCCAATAAGAACATGACATTTTGAGTCACGATTATGACTTCTCTCCCTCGTTTTGTTTTTGTATTATAGAAATAGCACCTTCTTACAGAGTTTTTATGTGGTTTCTGCCATAAATCCTTATACACAGTAATAATTATAACTTTTGCACAATACACCAATCCTAAAGGCAGCTATAAAATGTTTACAGTTTCTACATTGTAAGAAGGATCTGGATTATTTTAATCTTCCCAGGCCGAGCGTTGATGAATTGTGCTGAACTGAAGTATGTCTATACTACAGTTACGGGGGTCCTGATGTGCTTTCTATCGGTTTCCTCATTCATGTAAAAAGTGACAAGGGGTTGGTGCCTTGTAAATATGTAGCAAACCTTTGATGTGGTGTGTCCTATGTGTGCATTAACTTTATTAAAAAGAGAATACTTGAGAAGTATGAATATCTAGACAAAAGGTGCCAAATGCAAAAGTTACTTGCATCTATTTTCTTTTTGTCCTCTCATATTTTTATAGTATTAATAGAGACTGTGCAGCTAAGGGGTAACTTCAACGTTTGAAAGGTTCCTCCTCTTCAAAGCATAACGTGATTTTTAACAGTAGCTCAGCTACCTCTATTTACAACTACTGGAAACTTAAAAGAAAATAGATGCTGTTATTCAGTACGTGTTGACGAAGAGGCAAGAAGGAGCGTAGAGGGCTGGAATTGCTCGCAAAGTTGTAGAGGAATGATATCTTCATTATATTGACACAATGAAAACAAATCGAAGCGATTATCAGAGTGTTCAGAAGCAGAATGTTTTCAGCAGAAGGTGATTTGTCTGTGCAGATTGGCCAACTGTCTCCCACGCATTTCAGCTGCCACTTGCTCGGTGCAAATCTGTCTTTGGTTTAATTTGGAAGGTGCTGAGGGCGCTGACCGGTTCCTCTGGCTGGCAGCAAGGACAAGCTCCTGTTCTCATCCTCCAGACAGACTCTTGTATCTCAAGCTTCCAGAAGAGAATTCGTGTTGCACTGTACTCTCGTTTATCCTGAAAAATGCTGACTTGAAAACAGAACTGATTGTTGGTAGCGGTAGTACAGGATGTGATGACATTTGTAGCCTTGCTCCTCAGTGAACAGCAACGGGTGTTTGGCGTGAGCTGAGCTGGAGATGAGCAGCCTTGTACCTCGTAGGGTCTGGCTGGAATATATGTGGGACTTCCATTTTCTCCCGTTGTCAAAACGAATCTGAGAGAGGTCTTGGTAAAGAGAGGGAGTTAAATTACACAGAGAGAACCAACAAGGGAAGAGACCAGAAAGTTTTGGTGGAGTTTTTCAAGGTATTTTTTTTAAAAAAAACCTTTCATCCTTAAGTTCTTCTGTGCACAGCTTGGTCAATAATTCTGGAAAACCTCAGGCAGCGAAGAGTGACCCATGTATGTTCTCAGAGTCAGAAGGAATTTAATTTTTGACTTTCTATATTAAGCACTAGCTATTTTATCTCGCTTTCCAAAAATTCTAGTTAGATGCAAAATGACTTGAAAAAATGCAGAGGTTTAGTTTTGTGATGGAGGAGAGTATATCCTGAATTGCTCAGAGAATTAATGTGAGTTTATGGTACAGTACAAAAATCACATTTTTAATTTTTTAAGGAATGTTTTGAATCGGCCGTAATCCATTTCTGGACTTGATTCAGTTGTGTTTTGATGGGGGGGTGGAAAAAAAGTGCAGAGGCTCTCTTAGTTCTGTGTTGGGCTTTAAAATATAAACACCTGTCCTATCATCTCTCATCTATATGTATATATATATATACACACATATATATTTATAAGAAATGTATTATTTCTTTGGCTGATTGGTCCTTCTCCATATGGTAACCAGGAATAGCATGTATGCATCACTTCATAGTCGGAGTCATATCCCTTTTAGATCAGTCCTGAGCTAATGTAAACACTATGGTTTCTGTTTTAAAGCCTGAAAATCTTGAACTGCAAAAGAACCGCTTTTCCTATATTTCTGACTGGCCGAAGATCCACTTGCTTATTTATTTTGTGTAGGGGTTGGGGAGAGATAAAACACATGGATTCCAGAGAAATTGTTTTATAAGTTTGTGTATTTTAGCAGCAATTAGAATAATATTAAATATGTTCTCAAATGTATCTTTTCTATGTAATGAAGTACTGTGAAGATAACAGTGAAGCATCACTTTGCTGCGGCGTAAGTATTAATCAAATGTGTTACATGATTAAGAGCTAGACAGCAGGGTGTGCTAGAACAACAGAACTATTGCTTCTTGTATAAAAAATAGCTTTTTTTGTGCATGAGAACCTTTTTGTAAGCATGAAAGAAATAACTTGTTTTTAGAGCTGTTATTTTTACTTGCTTTTGTATCTGGATTCTTTCTCTGAGTTAGGCAGTCGGTTTCTCATAGCCTCGTTCTGTGGAATAGTTATAATTTCGTAGTAACTTGGACACTTTCTCTCAGAAGCCAGATCCTATTAGGAGCCACTTTTGGTTGCAGAAAACTTAATATCAACCCAACAGGTGCAGCAGAAGCAGTAAAATTATTTCACCCTTGTACCGTCTCGCTCCCTGATCCAAAACCCGGGTGCTCAGCCCGCATCCACTGAACTTGCTGAGCTCCTCACAGGCTGCGTTGCAGAGTCAGGACCATCGTCTCCTTCCTTGCACTTTGAACTCCAAAAAAACTCCAAAACTCTGCCTAAGAACAGGGTTTGAAGGTCTGATTATGATCCCTGCAGGCTGACAGGCATGCAGGCAGGTTTCTCTGCTGCTCTAGGATTAATTCTCGGGCATCGGTGCTCCGAAGCTTTCTCTGGATGGGGAACTGGACTCGTGCCCCGAGGGGCTTTACTCCCAGCAGAGCGTTTGCACCCATGCTCCATCCTCTGTGGAGATGGGGCTGCAAGCCTGGTGTGCGTCTTTGCTCTCAGATGTCTCCTGGCTACAAATCTGCTCTCTCCGTAGCACTCCCCGTTCGTCCCAGACCAAGCCATGAATGACGAAGCTGCTTTTTCAGTACTGAAGCGCTGTTGTCTCAGTTCAGCCCAAACTTGCCTGCTTTTTATTTTCTCTTACCACCTTTTCTTTGTCTCTTTGCTATGCTCTACCTCTCCTCTTTAGCTTCCTTGTATGTTATTTATGATGCTCTTTTAGAAGCTTGTGACATCTTGATGGATTTTATTTCAGCTAGACTGCAAGATTGAATTCTTTCCATCTCCCCCTCCCCCCCACAAGACTTCCTGTATTTTTTATATCTGCCTTGCTTCAGTAGCAACATGCCCACATGGCTGGAGGTGGATGGAAAGTTTGAGGGCTGGCTTCCTGCCTGCTCTGCTCCTCCATGGCCACCCATAGCCCGTGTGGCAACACTGCCAGGTCAGACGGGCCACCACCTGCCCTCCCTTGCAGCTACGTAAAACAGCGTTCAGTTCCACCTGCTCTCCTCTAACACGTGTGCTCCGTGTCTGCCCAGTCACTCCTTTTATTTCTTTTTTGTTTCCTCATAAATGGCAGTTACTGTAACCCTTGGAGAAGTCGCGTGCTTCCAGCCTCACGAGATAGTTCTGCTGGAAATGACCTGGGAAACTTCTGTGTCGGTGCTTGAACTTGGATGGTCCTGGCAGGTTTATCACTCCTTTCTCTCTCTTTAGCACTCCTTTCTCCATAACCTAAGCAAAAGCCACCCCCTGCTCCCAATCACCCCCACCCTGTAGAGAAAAGCCAAATAGAATCATGAAGAAAAAATTTGTGGAGGATTTTTGGCTACTTAAAATTTTGAATCCTGTTGCGTATTTTAATTTTCCCTGAATGTTTTCTTAAATACTGACCTCAGCTGCTTCTCCTGCACAAAAGTGGGAAGGCTGTGTAGTTCCTAAGGCACTGAAAAGAGCTGACACCGGGACACGTAGTAAAGAGAGTTTTCAATAATTTTAAAATATGTGGAAAAACCGACTGTGATGTATTTTACTGCTTTTGACAATGTTAGGAGGCTCTCTTGACCGCAAAAAGCCAGGTGAAGCTTGGCAAGCGTTGGGAAAGGCTGCTCCTGGGCGTCTCTGGAATGTTTCTGCCAATGTTCAAAAACACACAGTGTCACCATGAGAAAAGCAGTTTGAATCACTAATTGTTTATACCAACTTGATTAATAATTCATCTTTGATCTCAGCGGTGAATGACAGGGAAAACAGAGTAGCTGTAGGCTTACGGATGTCTTGTCGGCTGTGACTTGGAGTGTCCTGCTGTCCTCGGTCTGTGTCCTGAATTCAATGTTTTAAAAATGTATTTGTGGGTTTTACAGTTCTCAATTTTTCTTTTCCTTTTTTTAAAACCGCCATGCAAAGTTTTCTATAACGCTCATTATTTTACATGATAGACTGAAGGAGCAGTTACCAATCCAAGGATCAATCTCTATTTAGTATTGTAGGGAGCCGTCATTGTGTTCTTACAAGTATGTATTATAGAAAATTACTGCGCATGTGCGATAGATAATTTTCAACTATTAGTATATCAAGAAGTTTACACATTAAAAAAAAAATTCCTCCTTTATGTACAGTAAGTAACAGCCTGCAAATTTAGTCTAAAAGTTGTCTTTTTTAGTATTAGAAATGCAAAGACCTGTTGGAAGCTTGTACATTTTTAATATGTCATGTTCAGCCCACAGCAGACGTACACAACTGTGCTATGAATCCCTGAAAAATTAGATTTCCAGTGGAATTGCTGTCACAGCCTTAACTCTAGTATTATACAAATGGTGCTTAAATACATTTATGTGCATGGATGTGGGTACCTGATAAGAGTTTATGAGAATTTCAAGTCAAACCGAGCAGCTTAGCGCTGCGCTTGCGATTTAATACTCCTGCTAGTTAACATTTGGGAAATGTGTAGATACTTGGAAAATACTGAAACTGGTGGACAATTAAGAGCGGTTTCTCGGGTTTGGGGTTTATAATTGGCAAGCACTGTGTATCTTCCTGATTTCTGGGTCTGGGGGAATGGCGAGAGGAGGCCGGGGGAGCCCTGGTCCTGCTGGGACATTGGCAAGAGAGGTGTCTGATCTTGGGCAGAGAAAATCAGAATCCTCCGTTTCTCTTCCTAAAAATGCCTCCTCAGAGAGTGGTGGCTGCTCGGGTATATTCAGAAATCAGCATCTGATGATTATTTTTTCTGTAGAAATACTAATCCAGGCTCTTCATTCCTCCATGAGTCATTATAGCAGACTTCATTTAGAAACACCAGTTGATGTTGGAGCGATGAAATTCACATGATTTAGGCTCTCCAGTTCATGTTCTGGATGATGTAAAATACTCCAGAAATGCACAAAACTATTAGAATTACGTCTACTTTCTATCTTGATTTTTTTTTTCAGGTGATATTTATGCCCATATCTTCACATCCGCTATCTCAGGTCCCTTTAAATGAATACTTCAGGGATTTTGATGCCACTTGTTGGCAGACCAAATGTAATATTTATATGCAATGAGCTGTTAGTTTTTGTATTGTACAAATGTAAATTTGTAAAGATTTTTTTCTAGAGTTTTTTTGAAGTCACTTATGTAATCTAGGATGTTTCATTTTCCAGCTGTGGGATTGTCTTAATAAAAAAAGATAAACTCTTACTTTGGTTTTGCATTA